GATAACGCAGATGACACAACCTTGGTTGCCCCAAATGAAGATGATTTGAAGCACTTACTGATGAAAAGTAAAAAGCAACATAGTCTTTAGTACAAATTATACCTGTACATGAAGAAAATGAAACTCCTTACAATAGGAACCAACAAGCAACACCATGGTAATGGAGAAAAAAATTGAGGTTGTCAGTGATTTCATTTCAATGATTTCATTCTTCTTGGATCAAATATCATTGACCATGGAACTAGGAGTCAAGATATCAAATGACTTTATTGCATTGAACAAATCTGCTCTTTTAAGTTTTAAAAAACAAAGATATCACTTTGATGAATAAAGTGCGCTTGACACAAACCATGCTTGGTTCAGTTGCCTCATATACATGTGAAAGCTAGACAATTAGAAAGGGAGATAAAAGGAAAACTGATGCATTTGAACTGTGATGTTGGTGAAGAATATCGAATATGCTGTAGTCTGCCAGAAGAACAAAAATACCAGTCTTAGAAGAAATACAACTAGAGTGTTCCCTCGAAACAAGGATGGTGAGACTTCCCTTGCTTACTTTGGATATATCATCAGGAAAGCCAGTTGCTTGAAAAAGGTATGTTTGGTAAAGTTGAAAGACAGTGAAAATGAGAGAAACCAAGGAGCTGGATTGACACAATAGTTGCAACAATGTACTCATACATACCAACAATCAAGAGATGTCTCAAGGCCAGGCAGTGTTTTGTTCTGTTACACACATAAAGTTGCCATGAGTCAGAGGTGGCAGCTAACAGTAGCATACCTAGTTTATCAGTGCCATTGTAATTAATGAATGACTGTTCCTGATATTTTAGTAACTTGAAATTATAATTTAGTAAATAGTCGTTTTCATTTATCTGAATAATTTGGGAAGTGTCCTCATATTTTAGGTATAAACAAAGCTATGTGTTGCACAGCTAAATGTTTTCTGTCAGTTTCAGGGCTGAATTTTATTGAGACTGTTCACAGCAAAGGTCTCTGAGGAAAAGTGCATGTTTTTCATACAGTCTTATTGGCAGTTAATTTTCAGAGTTCTTTAGGTGTTGGTGCTAATAAAGACTAGAGATTATAAAATTCAGTTCCTCTGTATTACGTTTAAACCCTAAAACTGAAGACTTTAAGTGTCTAGGTATAAACAGATCTGTAACAACTTAGTGTGTTCACTGCTATGGCAGAACTATAAACAAAGTGCTTTGAAAGCACAGAGAACCTTGCAGCTTAATCTGTGTAGCGGAAATCGAGGAAGACTTCACAAAGGTAGTGATACAGGGCAAGTCTTGAGGATAAATGACAGGCTGAAAAGGAAAAAATTAATTTTTGGTTTAGAGAATAGCAAGTGCAGTGAGCACAATGTATTCAAGAACACTGGGGCCTTGAGCATTTATTAATCACTCTAATTAGGAGCCCTGGTGGTGTATTGGTTAAGTGCTCAGCTGCTAACCCAAAGATTGTTGGTTAGAACTCACCCAGTGGCTCCATATGATCAATACTTGGTGATTTGTTCCTGTAAGGATTGTGGCTTAGAAAATCCTATGAGGCATTTCAGCTTTGTCACATGGCATTGCTATGAGTTGAAATCAACTTGATGGACCACCTAACAACAACATAATTAGAACCATGGAACCCCTGGATGATACAGTTATTTAACACACTCAGTTGTCAACAGAAAGGATACAGATTTGAGTCTACCCAGAGGTGCCTTGGAAGAAGGGCCTGGTAATAAACTTTCCCCAAAACCAGCCATTGGAAACCCTTTGGGCCATTGTTCTACTCTGACACACATGAGATTATCACTAGTCAGAGTGGATTTGACAGTCACTAGCTTATAATTAGAACCCAGTGAAAGTCAAAGGAGCCCTGGGGGTGCAATGGTTAAGTGCTTGGCTGCTAACTGAAAGGTCAGTGGTTTGAACTGACTGGTGAGTGACTCTATGGGGGGAAAGACCTGCTCCTATAAAAAGTATAGCCCAGGAAATCCAATGGGAACAGTTCTTCTCTGTCCTATAGGGTTGCTCTGAGTCAGAATCGACTTGATGGCACACAACAGCAGTGAAATTCAACAGCTGTAAGCTATAAACTTTGCCTTGTTACCTGAATTCATATGAAATATGCTAATTCAGACCATTGGTCTCTGTCTAATAGGGCTCAAACTGGGCAATCTACAGGCCATATTGCCCCACAAATGAGTTTGGCCTGCATGTGTTTGAAAAGACATGAATTGCATGCTGTTTAAAACATTAGGTGAAATAGTTGGGAAACCTCAAATGAAAATCCAGTTTTAGCTTCTTTGGACAAATCAGAAAAGTTGGCATCATTGCCTCATGGTATGGATGGAATGGACTCAGTAGGAGCTCTGCTCTTTTTTAGTAATAATTGCTCTCCAGTTTATAACAGTTCCCACTTACTCATATCACTCTCTTTATGTTAATTGCCTCCCTGTAGGCATGTGAGGAATTTATGACTTCCTCAGTAATGCTTTCTTTGGGGGATAACCAAGGAGAATTTTATGCAGAAATGTTTTAATTGTCCTTAAGTTTATTTCATTATCTATAGTTGGCAAGGACTGTGGTCTCCATTGTTTCTGAAAATAAGTTCTTCCCTTAACTTAAAAAAATTTATTAGTCCTACATGTGATAGTAATTATACTTTCCTGTTTTTCAGTAATAGTTATATGCATTTCTATTTTATCTATCATAATGACATATATGTTTATGTGAAAAGTTGTACATTTATGCCAAGTATTTTTTAAAGCTATAAGTCAGTACTTAGTTTGTGGATTTGCAGGTTACTTTTAATAATTTAGAGGAGCTCTGGTGGCACAGTGGTTAAGTCATTTGACTGCTAAATAAAAGATCAGTGGTTTGAACCCTCTAGCTGCTCCATGGGAGAAAGATGAGGCAGCTGCTTCTATAAAGATTTATAGATTTGGAAACCCTACCAGACAGTTCTACTCTGTCTTACCAGGTCGCTATGAGTTGGAGTCAACTCTATGGCAGTGGGTTTGGTTTTCAGTAATTTACTAGTTTACTGTTTGGGAACCAAGGGCTGAGTTTTCTTAGTTGTTTTTGTATGAATCCATCATATATAAGCATATCTGAACTGTAATTGAATTGGTACGTTAAACCTCTCAGAAACTCTTTTGCTTAGAGGAGTAACAGAGGTCCTAGTACTGGCTCTGCTAATAGAGTTCTTTTACCTTAAATCACCTAACTCTCTGGACTTCATATTTTCTTATTTCCTTTTGTTGTTGTTGTTGTTGATAGGCACTTGCCTTGTTTCTACATTTTGCCTGTTGTGAATAATGGTGCAGTGATCATTGGTGTACAAGTATCTGTTTGAATCCCTCCTTTCAGGTTTCTTGAGTGTATACCTAGGAGTGAAACTGCTGGGTCATGTGGTAAATTATATGTTTTACTTTTTGAGGAACCACCAAACTGTTTTCCACAGCAATTGTATCATTTTATGATTTTCTTGTTTCCTAAATGAGGTTGAAACTAGGTTATCTCTAGGGAAACAAAGGTACCTTTTATGATTCTAAGTTTCATAAGTTTATTGTTCTATAAAATAGTGCTTCTTAGTTTGAAACTGTTCCCATTAGAACACTTGGCTCTTTAATTGTAAATTCTCGGAGTTTTGTGAATTATAAATTCAAATGTGTTCATGTATTGTTAGTGATTTTATAATTTTCATTATATCCTTTCTCAGTTCTTGTTTTCCCAGGCCAAGGAATCCTTTTTTATTTTTTTAACTATGAATTTTAATCTATGAAATCTGTCTTCATGTTGAATCTTATTAATCATAAGTCAGTCTTTTTTTAAAACCTGTTAAGTATTTACTCCTCTTCTTTCCTTCTCCTCTCTGACATTTCTTTGGTATGTTTCTTTATTTTGTTTTTATTTTTCTTTAGTTTGAAGCTGCATGGGCATTAACTAATATAGCTTCTGGAACTTTTCTACATACCAAAGTAGTGATTGAAACTGGGGCTGTTCCAATTTTTATCAAACTCCTTAAGTCAGAACATGAAGATGTTCAGGAACAGGTAATTTCTGATTTGAAATTTTATTTCAATAAAATATTTCAATATTTACTAGGTTTTAATATTTTCTTGAAAGTACCATCTGTGATTATGATTTGACATTTAATTTTGTGCTCTACTATTTGTACATTGCAGTTTTAAAAATACAGTCATTTCTTTTCAATGCCAAATTAGAATGGAGTGAAAATAACTTTCTTAGGTATAATTCTAGATTCTTTATAAGTATGATCTCATCTATGAGAGTGTTTACTATTTGTATTTATAAGACAGCATACTAAGACCCAGGAAAGGTAACAACTTATACAAAGTCACAGCAAATGGCTGAACCAGATTTTAAAACTGGGCCTTTCCAACTCCATTTAAATTCAGAGATGACAAACTATGCTCTTTATTGAACTTCAGAATAAGCATTTCACTGGTATATAAGGAAATTAAAAAACAAAACAAAACACCTCAAAACAACCCTGTCTTTCAATTTGTTAAAAATATTAAATTATATTTTAAAAGTTTTCATATTTTATTCCCCTGTTGTCGATGTTGTTAGTTGCTCTATTAGCTGAAAACTATCACTTTGATTATTCTATCCTAAGATGTCATTCTTAAGAAAGAACATCTTATTTAAGATGGTTTTGTTCTTGTGTGCCACTGAGTTGACTTCTACTCATAGTGACCCTATAGGACAGTAGAACTGCCCTATGTGGTGTCCAAGATAGTAATCTTTATGGAAGCAGACTGCCACATCTTTCTCCAATGGAGTGACTCATGGGTTCAAACTGCTGACCTCTGGGTTAGCAATTGAGCACTTAACCACTATGCTACTAGGATTCCTTTTATTTAAGATACTGTACACATTATTGAAAGATGTTGATATTAGTTTAATAATGTACATCCTTCTTAGAGTATTTTTTTCTTATTTTTCTAAGGCTGTTTGGGCACTTGGTAATATTGCTGGTGACAATGCAGAATGCAGAGACTTTGTTTTGAACTGTGAAATACTTCCACCACTCTTAGAGTAAGTCCTTTATCACAATTAACTTAATACTTATTTTAGAAAAGGAAACTATATTTTCCTTATATTTCAGAATAGACATTAAGTTCTTCAGTGATGCTTTTAAATTTGTCATGTTTAGCCATGCCTGCAGTAGTTTGAAAGTAGGTAAAACAAGGAAGATTTTTTTCAAATTAAATTATGCTTGTGTCTTATATTCTCTTAAGCTGTACTTAATAGTGGCCATTGCTTTCTTCATGCTTTCTGTATTGAAATTATTGTTCTGTGGAACAAGGACGTTTAGTAGTTTACAACTGAGTGAAAGTTTAAATACTGGCAGAGCAGGGAGTCTTTAATATGTGAACAGATAG